GGTTTCTTAAAATTAATTGTGAAATTTATCACGTTTCAAATATAAGAAAATTACATGTAAACAACTCCTAGTCATAAGGAACAAATTATTGTTAGAGAATCATCGTTTTAAGTGGTTAATGAGTATGTATTATGTACAATTGAAGATGTTACGGTAGTATAAATCCCTATTGATAAATTTTATTGACAAGTAAGTGACATGCTAAGTATTGATCCGTAATTATCGTTGCCGTTTATCTCTATAGATCCTGATTGTTTATGAAATATTATAGATAAAGTCATTAAGTTCTTAAAGGATTTGAACGTGATACTTATGAAGATTGAATGTATTACAAGATCCTTGTCATATTATGTAGCAGGAAGAATATTCTTTGAAAATTCATGTAACTGTTTATAATTATGTTAATATAAATGAACAACCGTGTCGATATAGAATACTCAACCTCTGGACGAACTCCATCATGGCTTCAAACGTAAGTGATTATCATTATTATTTATTTTATTTATTTAATTAATATTGATTTTTTTGTGATAATTCTGTATATGTAATACATCTTTATCCCCCCCCCCCCAAAAAAAAAAAAAAAAATCCTAAATTATGGACTATATAACTTATTTATTTATTTCATTAAAGTTTTTTATTATTAAAATCAAATTTTTGGTATTGAAAATTAAAATATTTTGACTAAAACTCAATAATTTTAAAATTATTATATATATATTCAACAATTTGATTTCTTTTTAGACAATATCTCACATTCTATATTTTTTAAATATTATAGACTAATGATTTGTGGCTCTCGGCAAGACCCCTGGTGGCGTCCACCCCCAAAAGACCTGTATTTGGGCCCATCAAAAAAAGATTAGAGTTTGGAAGCGGGAAAGTAAGTATATGTGTTTGTATATATATATATAGATATATACATACTTTATCATTCATTAGATATTGTTTGTTAAATAGAATTCACTAAAAGAATCAAAATTTTGGTTTCTGTGTCAGAATAAATTTATTTTATTGAATTGTTTTGCAGACTGCAGAGAGTCCGATTCGGAAAATTATTATATTAGATTCTTCAACTCATAATAATGTAAGTTCTGTTTAAAATACTCACTTGTTCCTTACATCTTCCATTGTGCTGTTTAAATGATTGTAAGGTTAAGTACTCCCTTCTGCATTTATCACATTTAAATAATTTGTCTTTGTGATCATTCTGCATATGAAATCGACATTGAGTAGCCAATTTGAATTCTTTTTCGCAGTGCTGACACTTTGTTGAACTTTTACATGTTCGTATGTGACGTTCAAAATTATCTTTCCTGTTAATTTTCTTCCCACAAGATGGACATTCTCTTTCATATAAACCAAGATGCACGGTTTTCATATGACGATTTCGGTATTTTAAATATTTATATTTTTTATCGCATTGGGAACATGCGAACTCCATGGTTTCAAATTAAGAATGATGTATATCGATTTGTGTAGGAAGTATTTATTCATTTACTTTCAAACTTATTACACCTTTGTTTATCCGTCTTTCTAGGATATTTCTACGTGTAACTTTTACTTTTCCGGAAGTTTAAATCGTCATTTTCAATAAATCTCTACGCTTTCTTATATAAAATTTAGATTTTCATTAAAGTCATGTTCCCGGTGTTATACTTCGTTATACATTTCTTTTCCGTAAACACACTCATTACACCTTTGTATATCCGTCTTTCTAGGATATCTCTACGTGTAACTTTTACTTTTCCGGAAGTTTTGAATCGTCATTTTTCAACAAATCTCTACTCTTTCTTATAAATTATTATAGATTTTCTTAACAATCGTATTCCCAGTATTATACATTTCCGTAAACTACTGTCAGCTCACCACTTCCGTCATATGTTATCCACATATCTCCCCATACTTTTAATATTAGTAAATTTGTGTGTATTAAACTTTTTTCAGACTGTTCAGACGTGGGAGCAATACCTGGAGGAGAGGGTCTCCAAATTAGAGAGGGAGCTGAACACACTGAAAAGTGAATTAGCCCCTAGGAGAATTCTTAGGAAACTCTAAACACTTTCGTATATAATGAAACAAATACTTTTTTCTTAAACATTTATTCTTTAATGTAAGAAAAAAATCTGTTATAAGATCAATTGAAGTTCAGTTAAAGTTTACAACAAAATGTACAATAAACTATTTACATCCAAAATCATCACAAATGAGTCTATTTTACAATCTATATTCAATATGTAAGACGATTGGGTCGACGTCTCTGTCGCTGTGATCGTCGGAGTGGGGGTGGGGCATCATCCACAACAGGAGGCGGCTGAACAATTTGTTGAGGGAGTTGTCTGTCGCCGGTCATCATCAACCTCACCACTTTGAATATCACGTAAAACACTGCAACAATTAATCAATTTTAATTTCTCTCATTACTGAAGAGTCAAACTCAGTTATTGAACTCACAGAGTCAAGTTCAATGTTAATTGTGCGGCGAGGTTTCCGACAGTAATTGTGTGCACAAACAATACACAGGACTATGGTGATCAAACCCAGTAAACTCGTGACAATACCGGTGGCATAAATCCAGGGTTTATCTAGATGTGAAAATTAAACAGTAAATTATTTATTTTATTTTATTTTATTTTATTATTATTTTTTTAAAGTTAACATAAATTGAAAGTATATACTTACTGAAGGACAAGGCGGCAATTTCGGTCAAAGTGGTGGTGGTCAATGCGGGGGAGGTTGTCGTTGGGTCTGACACGGATCCTTGAGTTTGGGTCTCCTTTAAAAAAAAATAATAATAATGAATATAAGAGGTTTTTTTTTTTTTTTTTTTTTTTTTAAATCAAAATTTTAGTAATTAAAAAAATTTTTTTCATTTATTTATATAAAAAAAATTTACCTGGCAGATCTGGTCATTCAGGATGATGATGATTGTCTCGCCGCTTATAATATCCTCGCACGACACCACTGCCTCCCTCACAACAAATTTCCGCAGCCGCGGAAACTGTTTCAGGTCCACGCCATGGTTTAGGTAGTTAATTTCCATCATCTCCACATCTCGGAACCACTTTAGCATGTTCTGGTCCCACACCCGACATCTCACTCCTTCACTGGTACGCTCGCACCCCAAGACAAACAACGGAATTACAAACAAACAAAATAGCTTCTCCATCCTCATCTTTACAGTTCGTTAAATCTCAAAAGGGTGGTCAGATTTGGACTTTGAGGTCTTATATAATTATACGGGTGGAGGGTGGATCAGGAATATGTTTTAGTTTTATTAACATAATTTAAGAATTTATATATTGTGACCATGTTTATTTTGGTATATTCTATATAAGAATTAATGTATCATAGGTTTAATTGAAAACAGTTTATGGTTAATTATACTGTGTCTGTAGTATATCGATCCTTACATCCCTCCCGTTTTACAATAAACCAGCCCGGCGATTTTGGTCTCTCGGGTCGGTCACATCAACAGGTGTCCGTGGGGGGTGATAGCAATATGAAGTATTACACAACATTCATCTCTGGGTTTTTCTTTTATTTGAATGATTTGAAATAATAAAACAACTTAAATGATTTGTATAAAAGCATTTTAGATTACATTATTCGAGTTTTGACACCAGTGTCCTGCTAAGACTTCAAAACAAAGTCAGCACCACCCTGCTCCCCCCTCCGCTGATGTGTTTTATCGGTTTGTGATCGACTCGTTTTGGTTTTGGGGGTATACACAAGAATAAGAGAGAGAGAGACAGTTGTTATGAACTTATTCTCTACAATTTACTTGCATAAAAAATACTCGTTTCATAAACCATTTACTGTTGAATATATTTCTTGATTTGTTATATGTACATTTGTATGTACAAATATGTTAATAATTTTAAACGACACTTGGTAGAAGATATCAGACTAGTTTGTATAAAAACTTGCTCGATACACAACCTTTTGTTCAAACAATGATTTATAACAAGATTTTAGTGATCGATACATATATACATTTATTTGAATACATACAATTAATACAAATTTATAAACAAAGTTAAAATAAGAGAGTTATAAAAGGTGTGATTGGTATAAACAATTTATAAATTTTTTTTTAACAATGAAAATGTCTCCACACATTTCGTTTGTAATCGTTTCACCAGTTCTGATATTCTAAGGGATTACACATTGCACATCGAAGCATCCCTAGTTGGTTTTGATGGTCGTCCTGTAGAAAACAAGGTACAATGTTTTCCAGTTCGGGCACGGCTTTTTCAATGCTACTTAGATGTGTTTTAAGATTTAAGTATTCGAGAGGACGGAGACAAATCCCCTTCTTAGTGGGTACGAGGTTTTCTTCATTCTCCGGTTTCCAATATTTTCTTATGTTAACACAAGGACTGTCCCCTTTGACCGTTATGAATATGTTAGCGCCGATATGATAGTTCAGATCTTCTTTCTTGGTTAAGGCTGTGTCGATCAAATCAGTGGAGAGCGTCAGGGTTTTAAAAAGCTGCAAGTTTAAACTGATGCCTTTCTTAGTTGGAAACTGTCGTTTTTCCGTTGATTTCCATTCCCGTATGTCGACTCTACGTTCACCATTGTCCAATGTACATGCTTGAATGTATCGCTCGTTTCCTAATTCTTGACTGCACTGGGTAGTAGACATGTTGTCGTGATCAGTTTCTTTTAACTAAATGAATGTACCTATACCTAAACAGAGTTTAAATCGGAAATATTGTCATTTCCGAATCCTTGTCTGATTGGTTTATAACATTTAAATGATTTCATCTTATAAAATAACACCACATCAAACGGAAATTTGTTTACTATAATAATTACATTTGATTTTATTCTAACAAGGATGTGAAATAATAAGATACAACTATACATAATCATGAAAAGTTAAAGATTTCCGATTTATGTTTATTACATTGATACACATCTTTCCAATAATTTTAATCCAGCACATTTTAAATGTATCTTTAATAGAAAACGTGGGTCCATTCTGAAAAACACTAGATTTTTTACATAGTTTTATTACTGTTTCATCGTTAAACATTACACGAATATCTTAATTTATATGAAACTAAATGTTTTTCAAGTATTGGTTCGAGGATTTGTGATAAACAATTAATCCGTCTCCGAAAACGACATCTGTCCACAGCTATTAACATCCATTCTCCCTTACGATCCTCGTAAGGAATGTCAATTATTGTATCATCACCTTTAAATCTCACAGTCTTTTTCATGTTTGTATAATTTTCAATAAACGAGGGTGTACTATTAATCCAAAAACAATTTTGGTCGGAATTATTTTTTTCTATTCATTAACCAAGAGATATCTTACATTTGATTCCTCGTATTTTAATGCACATCTATTGTTACAACAATATATATTTTCCCTCGACTTTATTACACTTCATACATATTCTCGGGAAATACATATGGATACCTTTCATTAAATTTGTTCTTATAACCCCATAGATTGTGATTTAAATTATTCATCGACATGACCTTTATCAAAATTATTAGTTGTCAAATTAGTTTCATTTATTAATATTTATATATTGATCAACGGATTAAGTTGTTAAAAGGATTAAAACAGTCGTGTTATTGATCTATTCATATCCGATTTTGACTTCCTGAACTTGTTCTCTTGGTATACTACACTTCCGTGATCTATCGTGGGTGCCTCAAATTCGTGGGTGCCTCAAAGTAGCACGAAAACCCTCAGTCTATACTACTGGCGTGAAGTCACCCTCCTAGATAATCATATAAACATGCAATGGCGTGAAGTCACCCTCGTAGATAATCATATAAAAGTGCAATGGCGTGAAGTCACCTTGCTTTATAATCATATAAAAGTGCAATGGCGTGAAGTCACCCTCCTAGATAATCATATAAACATGCAATGGAGTGAGGTCACCCTCCTAGATAATCATAGAAACATGCAATGGCGTGAAGTCACCCTTCTAGATAATCATATAAATGTGCAATGGCGTGAAGTCACCCTCCTAGATAATCATATAAACGTGCAATGGCGTTAGGTCACCTTGCTAGATAATCATATAAACGTGCAATGGTGTGAAGTCACCCTCTTAGATAATCATAGAAACGTGCAATGGCGTGAAGTCACCCTTCTAGATAATCATATAAAAGTGCAATGGCGTGAAGTCACCTTGCTTTATAATCAAATAAATGTGCAATGGCGTGAAGTCACCCTCCTAGATAATCATATACGCGTTTAAGAATTCTTCTTTTCGGGTATGAAAACCAAAAAGATGTAGTTTTATGTAGACTTCCTATAAATATCAGGGAAATCCCTTCCCAGCATGGTTGTTTAAGTTCCAGGAAAAATCCCCTGGATTTTATACGAAACTGCTTTCAGCTACCTATACTTTTACAACAGCCAAGTTCATCGTAACCGATATTAATTCATGCTTGGAAAAAAATTTTGATATGGATATTCTCCAAAATTTGAACAATTAGTTTACTATGATAAATTTAACTGTCTCTTTCCTTTTTTAATTTTTATAACCGCATTTGATTTGGAAACGTCCCCCCCCCCCCCAAAAAAAATGTGTGGGTGGTAAGAAGGCTTCTTAATAATTACTAGTACATGTAGTATTCTAGGCTTAATTTAAACCCAATAAAATAATGTGATGACCCCTCCCTCAAAACTGCTTAATTGCCTCGCACATATCTCCCTTAAGAGATAATTACAGATTAATGTTTATTTTGCTTTTTTCAGTTCCCTAAACGTACTGCTAGAATGCGTACCTTTTCGTAGCGTTGCATCAGACTTGCGCTGATTTTTTTATGATATGAAAAATTATGTGAAAGCTTCTTAGTTTGAACTTAATATAATTTAGGGCTTGCTATTAAATTCATATAATAAAAAAAGCAACAGCGTGCTTTTTATACATGGCTTGTTTAAATTACGTTGGTTTCCGTTTTACAAAAAAAATGTTGCATTTCGTCATAAAAATAGATGGGAATTATATTCATTTTTAAAGATTTTTTATAAAAGGAAGTATAGTAGTAAAGGATTCGTTTTACAAAAAAGGTTGCATTTCGTCATAAAAATAGATGGGAATTATATTCATTTTTAGAGATTTATTTTTATAAAAGGAAGAATAGTAGTAAAGGATAAATATTGTCCGAGTGTACTTTGTTAAAAAAAAAAAAAGATCGGGTTCGTTCTTCATAATAAAATATAAGCGATAAATTTAATTTTTCAAAGGTGACTTCACGCCATTGCAAATAGCAATATCGCACCAAATACGAAAAAAGTAAACTCGGAAGCAATCTTTGTTATGAATAAAAACATCATGTAGACAGTTAATAGATATTTGTGAACATGGAGGACACAGAAAATAAAGAACCTGGAAGTTTTCCAGATAAGGTTAGACGGGGAATCATGCATAATCGTTATCGATGAATGTGCTTTGGATATTTTAATTTTTAGACAGCACAAGCCACAGGCACATGCACTGACCTATTCTCTTTAGAAAAGTGGACTTGGGGATTTAGGCGAAGGCCTGTCCATTTCTCTGAAGCGAACAACATTGAATCCAGCTACTAGTATTGATGTCAGTTTTATAGTTTATATTTTTTATTATAGCAATGAAGCTATGGACACTGAGGGAGTGTCTAGAGTTTAGGCTTGGGTTTACTTGCTTTTGGTTTTTGCTTTTTTCTTTAATAATTAGTGGATCTAACGTTACAGGGTTTCAAAAATTTTGATTTTTTTATGAAGGTAAAACATAATGTTTAAATCTGACAATGTTTATATGTATTTTAAATTTCATTTTAGCCTACATCGATTGAGGACTTTGTTTTTCTGAAGCCAATCAGCAGAGGGGCTTTTGGGTAAGAATTATGTCTCTGTAAATTGTGTAATGCTTAAAGCAGCACTATTCCTTTTCAATGCAATTAATAAAGTTTCGTTAGTTAGGTGAGGTTTCATTGTCAGATAATTAATGAGGCCTAGTTGAATTATTTCTACCCTAGAGATTTTGATAATTTTTTTTGAATGAATTTTTACTTTTCCCAATACTTTATGTATTCCCTTATCATGATTATTAATAATTCTATTTCATGTAAATCTGACACTTTGTTATTCATAAGTTAATTGTGTTAACGGGTATATAAATATGTGTGTAATATTGTGCATGAATTGATGAACATTATTAGAAAGAAAAAAGGACAAAATATATTTACAAAGAAAATAACCTCACTTTGTTTTAAACATGTTTAAATATATAGACAATCTTTTTTTTTCCAACTTGAAGGAAAGTATTTCTGGGACACAAGAAAAACCAAGAAAACAAGAAATATGCAATCAAGGTGATGAAGAAATCCGACATGGTTAACAAGAATCTAGTGAGCCAAGGTAAAGATTCCCTGTAACTGATGTATTATTGTACAATAAGAGAGGCTATACTATAGTGTCATGCCTTAGTTCATAGGGAGAAACTCACTGAAAGCTTTTGTCAATGTTATGATCCCAGTAAACTTATAAGTAATGTTGAATCATCTTCTTATTAATGTCTTTTTCTATGATTGTATTCATCTACATGTACAGTCGTGTGCCAAAAGTGAAGATAATTTTATTTTTTCTCTATATATTTCATTGAAAACAACATTTTTTAAAATCACTGGTATGACAACATTTCTTGACAGATTTTATCACAAATTTCATGGCAATCCAATAAATTGTTGTAATTGATATAAACAATAGTTTTTATCTGATCAGTATTGATATTTTAAAAATATTATAATTTTACTGCAACATGAATTTTTAAGTCACATACTCACAATGAATTATATAGTCAACGTTGATCTTGAATTTTAGAACTGATGTCAATTGATGAACTATCTTTTAGTAAAAACTAAATATTTAATGATCTTTTAAAGAAAGAAAACTGCACATTTTCTGGTTTAAGTACTGAAATAAATAATGAAATTGGACAAAAATTTACCATTTGTCAGTGATTTTAAAAAATGTTGTTTTCAATGAAATATATAGAGAAAAAATAAAATTATCTTCACTTTTGGCACACGACTGTACCTGTACAAGTATTGTCTCAACCCTTGGTCAGCTTCCTTCCTATCAGAATCTAAATGTATAGAAGAAGATTGTACATGTTCAATGGTCATTATTCAAACTTATACCATGTATACCATGTATACAGAATTACATTTCAGATGCATTGGCTTTATCCAACAGCCCATTTATTGTTATATTGTGTTGTATTTCAGTGTTAACAGAGAGAGATGCCCTAGCTTTATCCAACAGTCCATTCATTGTTATATTGTGTTGTATTTCAGTGTTAACAGAGCGAGATGCCCTAGCTTTCTCCAACAGTCCATTCATTGTACACCTTTACTATTCCCTGCAATCTCAGAATAACATTTTCCTGGTATGTATACTGTCTACATGTGACTCACAGTTTTCTTTATCCATCAAATAATGTCCGGGAATTTCTCACAATCACAGCAGAATAAGATATTAACATGTACATCTACTTATAAATGTTAGGTGTTTTAAGAATGAGTGATGCATGTTTCTCTTAGAATCAACCAGCAATACTAAAAAAAAGTAAAAGAACTAGAATTAAGGGGGTGTCAATTGTAAAAGAAGGAAACTTATTAATTTTTCTACATGTAATATGTTGATAGATAATGGAGTACTTAATTGGTGGGGATGTTAAGAGTCTGTTGGCTGTCTATGGTTATTTTGATGAGGAAATGTCTCAGATATATGCAGCAGAAGTTACCCTGGCTCTGCAATATCTACATTCTCATGGAATCATACACAGGTTTGTACATTATCTGGGCAAGGATCAGCTATTTGTAAATAATAACGGCCGTCACTTTTGAAATTGAAATAAACAAGAATATAATTTTTTTATGATTCATAAAGTTGTATTTATAATTTTGTAATATGAAAGAGAAACAATAAACAATTAAATCTTTTTATTTAAAGAAATAAAATTATTATTACCGAATTTGTATAAAATTGTCCAACTTTTGTGCATGCTTATAAGAGATTTTCCAACCTATGTGTCAAAAATGCAATTTTTTAAAATACCTTTAATTAACACATTTTTATATACAACTATTCTAAAAGATGGATGTTTACCTTACAATTCTAGACAAAAATAATTACTATTTGCTCAGCATTATCCCGAGAAAAATAGCTTTGAAATTGAATAACGGACGTTACGAGTGTCGGTCAACATGATGGGTTAACTTTAAACATTAAAATAAATGTAATTGTATTAAAAATACACGAATATTTTTTATTTAGCTTTAACTTTAAAGCATACTCAATGAATTCTTTTCAATAACATTTGCGTAAAAGGATTAAAATAATAAATTTTCGCACATTTACCAAAGGTGCACAGGTGTCGGTCCGTAATTTGGGTTGTAAAATGGCTTTAATATTGCGGAATATATAATCATTTCGGTTTTTTCTATTAGTTTTACCACACATTTGCAGTAAACGTCATGAAAAGCGACCGTGATACGTAAAATGGAGGCAAAGTGGGTGTGTTTGTATTGTCGGTCAATAACTTCTTACTAGATAACAGACGTCACGCTAATTACTGAGTTAGATTTATATAAAATTTAATGATAAAATGGACAAGCCATGTTCTCCAATGTGTTAAAATCTATAATAGTTATTGTTTGACACAAACGTTTAAGTATTTTTCTAGAACTATTACGATCATAGAGATCATTTGGTGTTCGGCAGTTAAATTTTGACTGACATAACAATGTCAAACCATAACTGCTGAAGCACAGTGATTCGATTATGTTACGTAGAAATTTCATGGACATATTTTTTTCAATAAGATAGAAAGAAAATATGATATTTACCATTACTTATCTGTTAAAGTCGCATTTTTTTCCTGTCTTCGTACATTATTAACATAACAATATTTGGCTGTTACATGTTGACAAGAAATTGAAAAACGGATATGACATGTTGACACCTTTTCTGGTCAAATAATAACTTCTTTAAGCAGTATGATAATATTATCATGAAATTTAGAGTATTTGTTTATATTTTAAGGTAATTAGCAGAGGTTTAACTCATTTATTTTCTTTTCAGATGCTATGCTACCAGTTCTTAGGATTTTCTTGGCTGATTGCCTGTTATTATTTGACCATTGTCAAAATTTAAATCTGTGCTGATACAAGATTTTTTCCTTATTATTTTGTTAAAGATAAAATTTTATTAGTAAACTTCAGTTGTATATTAATGAAGAACAAATAATAAAATTACTAAATAAAAATTACAAAGATGTAGAGAGTTAAAATATCCCTTCCACGAAAAAACTGTGAGGGATGTTATAATGTAACATCCGTCACAGCGCTTAAAATTCATGGAAATGCTTTCAGTAGTTTTAATTAGTAAAAGAAGAATGTTTAAATGGAGTTGTATTTGACAAATTAACTTCATTGCATGTATTAAAAGTCGTGTGTATTCTTAACAAAACTTATGAAATGCGTTAAAAAGCGTTGTCAATATAACCTCTGTAACTACCTTACTTTAGTTTGTCAATGTGTCAAATATAACATCCGTTTATTATACAGGGTAAAAAATTCTTCAAGAAAGAACTAATGTATCCTGTTCTGCTTTTTAATGAAAAACTAGTGTTATTTCCACATTTAGTGAAGAAAAAACTCACGGTAAACATGATTTCTGTGCAGTAAAACGAATGATGAAAATGCTGTAGTAGGAAAAATTGATGTCACCTCCGTCACGATTAATTGTGCCTTATTAATTTTACAGATAGGCCATAGAAATTTGTCTACTTCGTCCCAAGTAAAAGTGTGGTCGGGTCCATGCATATGATGGTCTTTTTTTGGTTCTCTGTTACGCGAAATAACTTAAAAATTCACATTATATGTGTCAACATAACGCCCGTCACTTTTTGATCACCTATATTTGGATGCGATTTTCTTAAAAAATAAAAATGCAACTATCTTTTCCTATTAAATTAATGAAAGAAGGTATAGATATTAATGTATTTGACTAGAAAAAATGTAAAAATATTGATACAATTTTTTTCACTGTGACGGCCGTTATTATTTACAAATAGCTGATCCTTGCCCATCTACAAGTGTATCAATTATCAAAAGTGTTTAACTTAGCAATAAGTGTATATCCAAAGATGTGTAATTTACAAGCATGTGAGTTATTCACAAATGCCTGAGTTATACACAGATGTTTGAGTTGACTGCAAATGTATAAATGAATTAAAGACTGGTGCCTGCTTTGCCAGCTTGTATTTGAGTTTTTTCAAAGGTGAGAGTGTTATCCAAAGATGTGAAAGTTATCCACATGATATGTCAGAGTTATTCACTGGTGAACAATTTATTTTCAGGTGTGTGAAGTTTTTGTGTGTGGAAGAGTTTTCCACACAATAAAAATTCAAAGAAATTCAAAGCTGATTTAAGATATTGAATTAATCTCTCAACATGCTCAAATTACATTAATTTTTAGCAAAATAGTTAAGTTAATAAGTACATTTGTGTTCTTATAAAGTTAGCATTTTGATTAACCTAATAGGGACCTAAAGCCTGACAACATGTTAATTACTGGTAAGGGGCACCTGAAACTGACGGATTTTGGACTCTCTAAGATTAACTTGGATGATGGTAAGTATGGAGATCTTTGATGGAAATTCTGTGTTTTTTTTTATATAAAAGATAAATTTGCAAAAATATGTGATAATTCAAATGAAATTTGCCCTCTGGATAGTTTGAAAATTGTAGTGTAAACATTCGCAAATCCTGTTTTACGTCAGTTATTGAGTGTATTGCTAAACTTGAAGAAAACTGAAGCATACAGGTTGATATCTTATTGTTAAATGTTAACATGGTTAAGATTATACATAAGCTGGGATGTTCTTTTCACAGGAAGTGTCCCCCCAGAAACACACGGGACCCCCCTCCCCTATAGTAAAATGGCTGGTAACCTGAGGACACCCGGTCAAATATTGTCACTCAAAAGTAATTTAGGATTTGTAAGTATTATACTTATAACTGTTGTGCAATGTTTGGTTTGATCATTGTGTATGGATTGAAGAAAGAACATATTTGGGGAGCAATTATAAATCATAAGCCTAAATTTATGCCTTTAGAAAGTGCTTAAAGAAAATGAAAGTCAGAAGCCCTACAGAAACCGTAATCTATGACTGTAAAATAAAATGATTTTAGGTA